GCCCCTCACTTCCTCCCCAAAGCAGGTCCCAGGAGCACTGAGCAGCAGCAAAACGGCCCAGAGGGGAGGGCAGAGCAGGCTGGGGTCCCAGTGAAGTTCCTGAACTTGCTCTGAGGGCTGGGTGAGGAAGTTGTGGTGACAGGAGAGCGTGAGCTGCAAAGTGCAGAGTGCTGGGAGGTGGGACTGGCTCAGGGAGAGGCTGGTGGCAGAGCAGTGGGTGCTGATCCTGGCTGGCCCAGGAGTGGGTGCAGCTCAGGGCCAGGGAAGGAGAGCAAGAGTGTCTTGTGTTTGGCTTTTTCCCTGCACCTAGTTTTTAATCCTTCACGGCCAGTCAGGGAGAAGCTTGTGCTGTGCCACGGAAACTGGGTGCTGCCCTTACCCCAGGGTGCTCTCAGCATTTGGGAGGGCTGCTGTGACTCCCTAAATCCATGTGACCATTCCTGGGCCCAGGGCCTCCATGTCCAAAGGCCAGCAGCCCTTTCAGAGGGCAATGCCCTGGTGCTGTGCTGTACAGCACTGGGTTGGCATGGCTGTCTGTCCACAGGCTGCTGCTGAGCCCAGAGGTGTTGGCATGGCAGCTGCTTCCTCCTTCCTCCTTGGAATCCAAGCTGTAGGGGCAGAGAAGCAGTGCTCCCCACCCTGCTGATGCTGGAGGAGGGAGTCAGGGTTTGGGATGCAGCTCAGGTTCTGTGGAGGGTCTGACTGGTGCAGGTGGGATTGGCTGGAGCCTCTGGAGCTGCTCACTGAACCAGAAGCCTCACCTGAGAGGGGACAGCAGAGCCTCAGCCTGAGCACCTTCCCAGAACTCCTCTCTCCTCCCTTGCCAGCGGTTTTTGCTGGTGTCTCTCAGGCAACAGCAAATTTGGGAGAAATCAGTATCATTTCTGCTGGGGAAGGTGGGAATCCAAGGCAGCCCCGTTGCTATGGTTGCTGCAGACCATCCTGATGCAACATCATGTTAAGCAGCTCTGCAAGCAGATGTGCCACAGCTGGAAAGCATGGCAGGTGTGAGCAAGGCATGGCAGGCCACACAGAGTCCCCTGTGCTGCCACAGCCTCCCCTGGGCTGCTTGGCTTTGTGTCCCTCTTCAGGACGCTCCCTGGCAGCAAAATCCCCTCAGTGGAGGCAGCACTGGGGAGGGGGAGCACAGTAAACAGTAAACAATGCATGTAGGTGTTTCAAAATAATGCACTTGGGATATTTGTCATTCAAGCAGTGTGGGAGTGTCTACATAAAGCGCTGGAGAGCAGGTGCAAATGCCGTTTGATCAAGGAGGGTGCTGAATGTTGCCTGAGCACGACAACCATTTCTACAGCTTTTTTCCCCTAAGAAATTGTTGAATCATCAGCTTAAGGAAGAGAGGTTTGTCTTTGCTCAGCACAGCTCGGGCCAGGTTCACTGGGTCCATCTGCACCCCTGGGGACTGAGGGCTCAGGCCCTGCCTCCTGCCACTCCTCAGGGCTTGCTGCACTTTGCTACAAGGTTGAGCAGCCTAACCTGTAATGCACCTGACAGCCTCATCAGAGGGCTGGAGGGAAGCCAGCACTGCCACCGGGAGCCAGAGAAGGAGCAGGGAGTGTGCAGAGCCCAGAGCCTGGTCCAAAAGGGTGTTCAGGTGTCAACACCTGCTGCTGGTTCCTGCTTCTCCCCTGGGCACAGCCCTCTGCACTGGGGACAGAGGTTTTGGGATGTCTCCCCAAGCCCCTGGGGTGCTCCTGCCTTTGTGCACACCGATGGTGCCACTGACTGGTGCTGGTGGCTCTGGAGGTGACAGCTGGGATCTGCAGGGTTGGTCCCTGTGCCAGGAGCCAGCACAGGCTGATATTGCCTCTGGCCACCTCCCCTGTGTCCCCTTCCCAGGCCCTGGTGAGCCTCAGGGTGGGCTGGGTGGTCGGGAGAACCCTGCTCAGCCCCACCTCCAGGGCGCGGTGCTGCCGAGACCTTTCCCTCTGCACTGCTCAGGGCTGTGCTGGATCCTGGCTCCAGCTGGCTGCCAGCCAGGCCTCCCGAGGGCCCAGGGGGCTGCTTAAGCTCATTGCTTTCCTTTCAGAGGCTTCAGAAAGCCGCCTGCCCACATTTAATTCAAATTTATTGAATAATTCTCCTGGGAACAACTAGTTCAGGACTAACCACTACAACAGACCATCAATGAGATCAGTTGGCACAGCCCTGGCCATTGAGGGCTCTGTCCCCTCCAGCACAGCTCCGTGGCAGTGCCAGGGTGATGGTGGTGAGCACAGGGCCAGCACCTGGCCCAGGGCAGCTTGGCTCAGCTCTAACCTGGCTGCCTGCATCGCGTCCAGCCCCAGGGCATGTTCTGAGGTCTGTTCATATCCCTGCCACTTCCACCCCAAACCTGCTCCTGCCTTTGAGCCCTGTTCCCTTGGGCAGCAGTCCCAGCACGGGGCTCAGCCTCATCTGCCTCCAAAGCCTGTTGAGAGCTGGCTGTGCAGAGGGGGCGAGACACACATGCCTGTGGGGATGCACAGGTACCACGGGATGCACATCCTGCTGTGATGGGATTCACGTCCTCTTTGGGGTGCTGCACTGGCCAGGTTTACAGCCAGGGTTCACATCCATCTTGGGGCCACCAGGGATTGGCTCTGCTCGGCATGGGGGAAGCTTCTGGCACCTTCTCACAGAAGCCACCCCTGTAGCCCTCCCCCCACTGCCAAAACCTGGCCACACAAGCCCATTAGAGGTACAACAATCTGAGACCAGCTGGACAGGAGTGGGGACAAGCCAGGGCCAGGCTGGGAGGGCAGGGATGAGTACCAGGCTCCAGCAAGGGGGCTGTGAGAGATGAGATCTGACAGAGGTGGGCTTCCCTGGGAAAGCCTTTTTACCCTGTGCTCAGCCCCAGGCAGAGTTTGGGGCATGTCCTGTCCCTCCTTATGGCATCCTGGGGGCTGTTCCCAAGGACCAGGCTGTGCACACGCTGCCCTCATCCCTCACTGCCCTGCAGCTGTGCTGCTCCTCGAGGGCAGCCCACCGTGTGCCCGGCGTTACGCAATTAGCCACTGCTGGGAGCAGCACTAATGATGATCGTTAATGAGCGCCGCGCTGCTCGGCCAGCGCCTGTCCCGCTCGGGGCATGTGCAGTCATGCAGCAGCACTGAGTCACGGCAAGGCTGCTAATGGTGCAGGAGGGCAGCCCTGCCGCTAGCCCTGGGCACGGGATGCTCTGCAGCACGTACTGAAGGGCAGGGCTGTGCCACCCGCCGTCCATCCCTCGTGCCCTGCGCCGTGGGACGGACCTGGCACTGCTCAGCTGCTCTCTTGCAAGGTGTGGTGCCAGGCGATGTGCCAGAGCCTGGAAAATGGCACCTGTGGCTGCGATTTACCCTGGAAAGGGCAGGATGCCCAGGAACCTTCCTTTCCCAGTGCAGTGGCTGTGCTGCAGTGTGGGGCTGGGACACAGAGCCCTTCTCATCTTTCTGGGGTCCCTTATTCCACCCACACCCCCCTTGTCATGCTCATAAGCTGCTGACAGGCTGGAGACACCACCTTGGCATTCATGGAGCCACGGGGGAGCTCAGCAAGTCGTGGCCAGAGGCACACACCGATTTACAGCCCCCCGAGCCACAGGGAGTGATACCTGCAACAAAAGGTATCACTACAATCGTGGTTTGTTGTGCAATCCTGGTTTTCCTGTGCTGGATGCACAGCTGGCTCAGGGCAGAGCAGGAGTGAACTCCCAGCCTGTGTCCAGAGGGTGCCTGGGGACGGGGGCAGGGGGCTGTGAGCTGAACAGAGAGGGCTATTGAGCAATGTCCTAATAAACATGTGTTTATTTTGGGCAGATTAGGACCGAGACGTGCAGCGGGTTCTGCCCCTCTGCCAGGCTCGGGTTTGCCCCGGCCAAAAGAAGGCGCTGCCTTGGGGCTGTGCTGCCCAGCATTAGAAATGGAATCTGAGCAGCGAGGGGGTCCCAGGCTCGGTGCGATGCAGCAGAGCATCGCTGCCCGTGCTGAGGCCACGGCGGCCGTGCTGCCGCGCGGGAAAGCACAGAGGAGCATTTTACAAATACAGCCCAGGAGCATTTTTCAAACTCAGCCTTTGGATGCTCCGCAGTGGGTTTGGGGCCGGCTGGTAACGTACGACAGACGCGGCGGGTGGGTGGGAGCAGACTTGAACAGGCACTCGCTGCTCCAGGCTTCCCCCTGGAGAGCCCTGTGCGCGCTCCCGCTGCTGGCAAGGCAGCTGCAGTGGCCCTGGGCAGCGTGGCAGGGAGCGGAGGTGTCTCGGGGGATCGACCAAGAGGGGCCCCAGGGAGCTCCCACCCACGGGGCACATTCCAGCTCCGAGGATGCCCAGCACTGGCAGTGGCTCCCCGGGGGACAGTCACCCTCAGTGTCCCTCGGGGACCGTCACCTCTGAGACTGCCCCGAGGAGCTGCGCTTACAGGGACACCCTGGGGACCTGCTTCCCCAGACCGCTCCTCAGGGACACTTACCCTCAGGGGTGTCCCGGGAGCTGCAATGCCCCGGAGTGACCCTCCTCCTCAGGGGTACCCCAGCGACCTGCTCTGCAGGGGACACACGAGGGGACCCTGTCCCCAGGGATGCTCCAGGGACCGCTGGGGAGAGCCTGCCATGTCACGGCTCTCCAAAGAACACGCGTTGCTGAAGACACCCGCGGGGGACCCCTCACCCCGGGGATGCCCCATCCAGCGGGGATGCCGGCGCTCCGCTGCAGGGTGGGATGGTGCGGCTCCGGGCGGGCGGAGGGGTCGCTGTTGCCGCCAGCACGGCCGCCCCCCGCCTCCCCCCACACTCCCTCCGCCGCCTTTTGTTCGCCGCCCGCGCTCGTCCCCGCCCGGCGGCGGCGGGCGGAGCCGGGGCCGGGCCGGGGCCGCAGCCGCAGCCGGGGCCGAGCCCAGCGCAGCGCAGCGGGAGATGGAGGCCGCTCCGGCAGAGCCGGGTCCC